TTTGCAGATATAAATGCTTATGATTGTGAATTTCCAGCAATTACGAGGTTACCGCCACAGGTGCCTGCTATCGAACCGAGATTGCTGCTTGTCTGAAATACATGACAAGAAGAGATTGGCGGAACTACGCCCTTGGTTATTCGACAAGGGGCTGCGACGCCCAGAAATCTAATGCAATCATCCAAGAATGGATTCTCGCATACGCAAAGGAAGCAGACACGACAATCGCCGCTCTGGAAGCTCTTGGTTCCCGAGAAATGGATCAGAAATACACGGGGAAAGTGAGCATGCTGCTCAGGCGTTGGAAGCAGATCAAAGGCCTCTGCGACAAAGCCTTGGAAGCCGTATCCTGCTGAGGAAGCGAGTGCTGCCAGTGGCAGCTGACCTTCCGCGCGCAGAAGGACTAGATTCGGAGTCTAGTGCTAAGAGCCCTTCATAATTTAGAGCCATCCAAAACGTCGATTGGGATAGCCCCGGACACTCTTTGCTTCACCATTTGCTGTTTGGCGAGCACCAGATGCTTGATCATATAATTAACCGCGCACTTGATACCAAGCTCCTCCCCCCTGCGCACTATATAGCCGTTTATATACTCGATTTCCGTGGTTTTTCCAGATCGCACATCAGCCAGCATGGAGCTGGTGTTCTTCGCAGTCTGGTTCGCGAGCTTCGTCACCATCGATCGAAGCCGCTCTGGTGCAAAGCGGTTCTCAATGCCGGGAATACCTTGCAATTCAGGCAAGGCGCAAATGACACTCGAGATCTCGATGAGGAGCATTCGCATCACACGGGTGAAGCTATAGTTGTACAGAATCTCGCCATTCTCACAGTCCATCAGGGCTGTAAGGGGATTTATGACAGCATTCAATGCCAGTTTTTCCAGTTGATATAGTAGAAGGGACGAAGGAGTTTCGGCGACAGCCACAAGCGGTGGCGTAAGGGTTAATGTGCGTGTCAGGTATTTCGTGCTCGGTGCCCAATCCAGATCCTTTTCATCCTTCGACGACAAGACATCACGCGGCAAGACCGGACTAATTATAGTAGTACCGATACCTGTATGGGTAACATGGAAGGCGTCCCTTTTCCGTGCCAAGCCATGCGAAATGATGCCACACATGTAATGTGGACGTTGATGCGGGTCAGGAAAAACCTTCTCGTTGATCTCCTCGATAGTGCCCATGCCATTCTGAAGAAGAAGTACTGTGGAGTCAGGAGTTAAGCGGTGACTGACTGATTCCAGGGCTCTCGCAGTCATGGGTGCCTTGACGGCAACTATCAAGCATTCGATATGTTCATCATCCTCCTCCGACTGGGAAAGAGACTCTTCCACGCCGGCTTCCAAATTTTCTTCTGTGACGCTGTCACCATTTGTATTGGGCTCGCCATTCTGATTCCAATACGGTAGCGAATACCAAGTCCGGTCACTCAAGACGTTGACATCGAAGCCCGTCTTGATATCATCGAGGCCGTTTATATTGACCGCTAAGCACTTTTTCTTTGCTAACCAAGCCCCATAAAGATTCCTACTATGTAGCAAGAGGGTAATAGGAGGTGGAGATGGCCGACTTGCAAGCGAATGCGCAACAAAAGTCCCTACATTCCCAAGTCCCAAGATGTGTATTCGGCCCGAGAGCTTGCGCCTCCCGCTCTCACGGGATGCTTCATCAGCTTCATGCATCCATGTTGATAAAGATCGACGGACTTGCACTCCTCGAGGGCAGAGCCGTGTAAAGATCTCTACTTCACAAAAGCCAGTCCGCAAGAGCGGACGGCGCCCGAAAACGTTCAGCGACACTTTGACGAATGGATAGCCCTGCAAGCGAGTTCTGTTGCTATGTCTCAGATGGAAGACCGGTGAATTAAGAGAGTTTCACCTATAGCTCTTCTTCTCCCATTGATTATGATTGCTGACGCAGCTCAGCTTCAGTGGCTTTGAGAGGATTTCTGAGCTAATAATAAAGCGATAGTAGGAGCTTGAACACAACGATGACGGTCAAAAAGTAAAGATGAGGCAATCTGGTTGTCACCGCCAGGTTCACCGCCTTTAGATAAAAATCGCCGTTATCCATTGAGATTACCAAAAATTCCTAATCATGCATTTGCATCTGTATCTCACAACATGGAGGCCGCCGACCTATTACCGCTTCTTGAGCAATTGGATGATAATGTTGACGATTTGGAAGAGGCCCTCAAGCCAATTCTGGAGAGTCCGGTCTCCGAGACATCAAAAAAGCTCCCGGTTCTAGACAAGGCGAAATTTCACGTCTTGGTGACCTACGCTTTGGAATCTCTCATTTTTTGTACGGCTCTCTGGCCCAGTACCTACCTTTTCAAACTTGCTAATGGGGCGATAGCTTATCTGCGTCTTCATGGCGTCAATGCAAAGGAACATCCTGTCTTCCGAGAGCTCACTCGCGTCAAACAATACTTCGGGAAAATTCAGGCGCTAGAGGCTGAGCCCGAACAGCGGACCATGACTCTTGACAAAGAGGCAGCTGGTCGCTTTATCAAACATGGCCTTGTATGTCACATCTTGTTTTTCTTTTCATTTCTTAGACCTTGACGTTGGCCTGGTACTAACTTCGTGTAGGCCGGGAATGATAAACTAGATATGCAACGCAAAGAACAGGAGGCGAAAGAGAAAGCGCGCGCTCAACTAAAAGCAGCAATACTAGCTAAGAAAGCCGCGGCATCTGAGACATCTTCCAAGAATCGTACGACTAGCTCGGACTCGGAGTCAGAACCTGATAACGAGGAGTCGGACAGCGAGGAGGCTATAAGTGCAGAGTCAGGGCAGATAACAAGGCCCACGGAAACGACACGTTCCGAAAACTCTCAGGAGGGAAAGAAGAAGAAAGATAAAAACAAGCATGAGACTTCGAAGGCAACCAGAAAAAGGAAGAAGCGAAGCAAGGAGGAGCAGCAAGAACGGAAAAAGGAAAGACGGCAGAAGAAAATGGAAGTTCGAAAGGCAGCAAAGGCAAAGTGAGAAGAGGGGGGATTATGACTACAATCGCGCAACATGACTCCTTTCATGTCGGTCGGCCGGCCCGACTTAGTGCCCATATCGGATCGCAGCAGTTGCATCGTTAGCGGAGCTTAGGCTGTCAGTCACTTCAAAATTGCCCTGCTAATTAGTCTCAGCGCCTTCTCGTTGGCAGTGTTGGCCTTAGGAGGTGCTGTGTATGGCCATGCGCGCTCTTGCGATTCCACGGAATTCCAACATGCCTGCTAAGGACGAGCAATGCTATATGCGAAGAGCATAAGCACTCTAGCTCTCTCGGTGAAGCGTTTCACCAGGCACAGTCACATGACCTATGCCATGAATCTGAATTAGGTACTATCCGAATAGACCATTCCATGCATTTGTACCTCTCGTATTACCTGGGTTTTTGCCATACCATACATAAGTTACCTTACGGCAGAATGGTCACGTGAAGTTTTCTTTTGCCCGTACCTCTAGAAATATTACATAAACCAGGGACACAGCCAATCAGAAATTGGGAATGTGGCAGCTGGATCGGAGTTTGTTCTCTCTTCCCGCCGACGCATATTCGAGGTTCTTCTTTTCCGGCGCCTCCATCAACAACATATAAAAGCCAGCAACTCATCAACCTCCCTACCCCAGAACCGATTTTCATCAAACAACACCTTACCTTTCCGCCTTTCCAACACAAATACACAGCCAAAATGCCTCGTCAACGCCGTGGTGCCGCCCCTGCGCCTACCCCTGCCCGCAGCGCTCCCACCAGACCTACCGTCGCTCCCGCAAGACCGGCTGCTCCCCCCGCTGGTCAGCACCACCAGCCTCACTCTACTGCTGCTCACCCTCCCGCCCAGGCTCAGCAAGCCCCTCCTCCTATGGCCCCTGTTCAGCAGAGCTCTGGCCCCGGACTCTTCGGCCAGATGGCTTCAACCGCGGCGTAAGTTGCCCCGACATCCGTGAGATCCTCGGCTGTGATTCATTCTGGTGGCAACGTCCCGACAAGACGTCACGGGGACTTGCATCGCCAGTTTCTACGCCGAGGAATCGTTTTATTGCGTGGAAAGACGTTGACTGACTGATCTCTTTTTCTAGTGGTGTCGCAGTTGGTTCCTCTATCGGACACGCCATCGGCGGTCTGTTCAGCGGTGGTTCCTCCAGCAGTGCCCCTGCGGAGGCTCAACAGGCTCCTCCCGCTCAGGCTCAGCCTATGGACAACGGACTATGGCAGAGCAGTGCCACCAACAGCTCTTGGGAGACTCCTGCTTGCGAGACCGACGTGCGCAACTTCCGCAAGTGCCTGGATGAGAACCAGGGCAACATGACTATTTGCGGATGGTACCTTGACCAGCTGGTATGTTGAGATGTCCTCGTTGCCTGCGTATATTGAACGCTACTAACAACTCGATACAGAAAGCCTGCCAGGCTGCTGCTAAGCAGTACTAAGTGACTGCGCTTGTTCTCGCATGCTGTTACATTTTCTTTAGATGAAATAACATCAACTTTGGGTGAAACTATGGCCCTGGCGCAAGCCTGGCTGGCTTTGGGATGGGTGTCGACGAATTCTATTTGCATGGCGGCGTAATACCTTTACTCTACTGTATACCATTCTCCCAAGGGAGCCACATCTGTTTCATACAAACTTCTTATCTGCGTCTATTCGACCCATGGGGCCGAAGACGCAGGAGGAAGACAGAAAAAAAAAAGTTGAAAAACAGGAAACCAATGAGCAATGAAATTCCACTCTTCAAATAGATACCGCTTTTTTCACCATATCAGTAGCATGACAGTGCAATGTACAACGGGTCCTGGAAGCGTAGGTTTGATTGTACCGATACAGAACCCTGGGTATAATGGGAAGTGAGAGTCCTGAACGAGAGTAGACATCGATCTGGTGGCTCAACGGATTTTTAACATCTCAAAAGCAAGTGAAAAATAGGCATCTACATAGTGCCCTTGTTGGATACAAGATCGGAATATTAGCGAAATAACCGTAACGCCATATATAGGACCTGAATCATTCCAATTTATTGCCCTCTGTATCTCTCCGAGGCTCAAAATTCAGCTAGACACAAATAAGCCCATCTGTCAATCGTAGACTCGTATTCTAAAGGGTGGCGACTTACCTGATTCCCATTGTACAGTTGACTGTCATTCTGCTCTTCGCGTTGATCTCTCAATGTCCGAATCCTAGGGCCACTGGACGCAGCAGGCTGTGGACTCCGCGCTCCGTTTCCAGAAGACGAACTGGCGGTTGGAGCAGACCCGGAAGAGTCTGAAGAAGTCGGGTTGTAGCCGATGAAAGATCCCACTAGGCCCGTCGCAGTACCAACTGCCGAGGAGAGCAAGCCATACGCGGAATATGCAGCGCGCACGGGCAAGCTAGACCCTGACGAGTTATATGCCTCTGTATACGAGTTGATGGGGATCATCACAAGGTTCGCTGTGGATCCAAGTCCAAGATCTTCAAGGGTACGTTCTTCGTCGGCGATAGTGAGCGTTCGGCTGGGCAAGGGTGTCAAGATATGCTTAAGATTATATGGGCGTTTCTCATCCTGCAGTAGACCGTCAAGCCACGGGCGTACATCCCCGCGTATAGTCTGTGTTGGCGCAAAGCTATTTCGCACTGAGCTTCCGTCGAACAAGCGGACTTGTAAACGATACTGCTTGGGAGGTGATGGTTGGCGCGGTGTCGGCGCTTCTCTTGAAGGACCAGCACGCGATCCAGGATCGGCGGCGGAAGGCGATAATGTGTCCTTTCTAGGTTCCACAGTACTTTGCTTCTGGATATTAGCGACGTATTGCCGAACTTGTTGCTCTCTCTTCGACTGTTGGTTTTTCCGCGTATATTGTGGCGCACGATCAGAGCCAGCTGTCTTCGTAGGCGCCTCTTTGGTTTGTTCAGGGATTGGATCATGCTCTTGCTGGTGATTCTTCGGTTGTCCTGTTCCGGAAGCTTCTGGCCGACCCTTCTCTGGGTCTGAGAGCGCAGATGTGGTTGTGGGCGCCGGTTCAGCTGTCGCTGTTGGTGCAAGAGCAGAAGCAGGACCAGGACCAGGCGCAGGCGCAGGCGAAGAGGACAACGCTGCAGAGGGACTCAAAGTATTTTGAGGAACATTCTGCGTCGTAGATTGAGTATCATCAAGAGCAGCCCTTAGCCGACTGCGAAAGTCGTCCTTGGATATTTCAGGCACAAGGTATTCCCGCAACATGCCATTCCTGCAACCCATTCAGATCAGTGAACTTGTTCGCAACCAACGGACCGGTAGAGGTCAGTCATACTTGATCACAACAACTGCGGGAAACCGCACAATTGGACAAAACGACGTCAAGAATCCGGCTTCATCGCTGCCCTTCGTGAGTCGTAGCAAAACGGATCTGGTCTCGAGTAATCGTGCAAATTGCTAGATAGCGGTAAGAAGCCATACAACAGCGATCGACATCATGGAGGGATTTACCTCGTCATCCTTGAAGTATTCATCCTCCCATACACTACTAGCCTCTTCGTCATCTATACTCATCCCAGTCAATCAGCTTGCGACTCCAAGCGATAGTAGAATCATATGTAATTCAGATGCGATCATAGCGGCCGTGCGGGGAATGACAGACAGACCTCGAACGAAGCAGACCACAGCTTTCGACTCCGTGACAGCAAGGGAGATTCCGGCCTGAAGACCTCCAGAGTAGAACATGACGGCTCTGAGTTCTCTTCTTTCGTGAACCGAGTATGGTTGTTTATTTGTTCGCAAAGCAAGCCAGACCACGCAATGCGGCCAGCACAACTACTCGGGGAAAGTCGTTGATCTCCGCCGATCACGGGTTCCTCTCCAACAGCCTACTAAAGGGTCCGTCCCGCATTTTCTCCTCACCATCGGTTCTTCGAGCAAAGCACCAAGGTCGACTGCGGAGGCCGCATTCGGATCAATCATGCGGTCGATATTCTCCGCTCTCCAGCAGACGGCAGCTACATCATGGCGGTCACAAATTGCATCTGTTCGGAGTTCTCGCGCAGTGTTCGAGCTTGATTCGATTTGCGCCAGATGCCGCCGCCAACAGATTCGTTTCTCGAGCAATCGGCAGCTCGCGGATGATCCCAGATGGCTATCTGTAGTCGACCACCCTGCGCAGATTGTACGCACGGGACGCAAGCATGGGCCTGGCCTGATCATCCTAGGTACGGTGCACCTCATACGACGGGGGATGTTTTTGGGAGCATCGTCTGTGAATGAAAGTTTATTGACTAATTACAATTGGCTTGCTACAGCATTGATACCCATCACGGCATTTATTCTAGGCACCTGGCAGGTTCAGCGGCTCGATTGGAAGACAAAGTTGATTGCGAAATTCGAGGATCGCCTCGTGAAGCCTCCCCTCCCGTTGCCACCCCGTATTGATCCAACCGCCATCTCCGAGTTTGATTACCGACGTGTCTTTGCTACGGGTCATTTTAGACATGATCAGGAGATGTTGATCGGTCCCCGCATGCGCGAAGGCCAGGAAGGCTTCATTGTGGTCACTCCACTTGAAAGAGGAGAAGGGGAAAGCACAATCCTTGTGAACAGAGGTTGGATTTCGAAGAAGATGATGAACAAGAAAGACAGAGCCATCGGGTTACCGCAGGGCGAGGTAGTCGTTGAGGGCTTACTGCGTGAGCCATGGAAAAAGAACATGTTTACTCCAGAGAACAAGCCGGAGGAGGGGAAATTCTACTTTCCCGATGTCCATCAAATGGCTGAATTGACGGGAAGTCAGCCGGTTTGGATTGAACAGACTATGGGTAAGCAATCCCTAACATTCCAAGCAGGAGTTCCCAACATGACTGACTCTGAATCTTCCAGTGCCGGATATGGTCGAATCGATGGACAGAGAAGCAAAGGGTATTCCCATCGGCCGCGCAGCTGAAGTCAATCTGAGAAACAACCATAGCCAGTACATTTTCACATGGTAAGTTTCCATGCGCGCGGATGTTCTTCGCACTCGAGCTTAGCCACCTTCGGCTCCCGACTCTAGTTGCTAATATTCAGCAGGTACGGTCTGTCGCTGGCAACATCAATCATGTTGTGGATGGTCATTCGCAAAAGGCCAAATGAGGTCACTCGTCGTGTCGTCCAGAATCGGAACTGGTCGTAAATTCTTGTGTCATCCTCGTGTGCATTGTCTGACGGCGTTCGGCTCTGTTCTTTTTTGAGATCCTGTAGTATATATCCTTGTTCACGGTGGCATCGCCAATCTCATGTCCTGCAGGAGCTCTTTCGGCAAATGCTTCTGCGCAAGGGAGAAAACGGTGGTGGCATTGTTGATGTGCCGTTGTCTAGCAGATCAGCATCCTCCTGGTGCCATAATCAAGACAATCTCACTCACCTTCTCAACAGAGTCGTAACGTCAGTTTCATCAATAGTTTTTCGCCCTGCATGCTTAGAATATGCTGCCAAGTCTTCGCTGACTTGCTCAAAATACCACGCCGATGCTTGCTCTATTGCAGCCAAAGTTGCCTTGCTTATCTTGGCCTTGGATCCGGCTCTTGCACGGGCAAACCTAGTAGCTAGTTTTCGAACCACTCCCACTGGCATATTGGGCACGGGAATTCCATGGCGCGAGAGTTTCTTCTGCTTGCCACCTGGGAGCACGCTATCTTCGTCTCGCAATCCTCCTCCAACGAGCCCTGGACTCTCGCTCAGGGAAACTCGCGATGGCATATTGAGCTCCAGACCGAAGTCGCCAGCGACACCGCCAACGTCGCCATCGCTCATGTCTGATTCTGGACCTATCTCTGGCCCGAGATCAACCGGAGGAAGCTCGAAACCTTCGTCGTCATTTAAAGGTTCGTCCTGCATCATATCACCCCCCTCACCAGGAGGAGGTGGAGATGGGAAGTTGAATTCGAAGTTGAATCGCCCAAGATCCTCCGTTTCGCCTCTGCACCAAAATTAGCTGGGTCGAGATAAACGATAAAAGCGCCCTCAACACTCACCCTCTGTCAAAAGCCCCCTGGCTGATCATTGTATCGTCCGGTCCATCTCCTTCAATGCCCGTATCATCGTCCTCGCCGCCTTCAGAGCCGCTCCCCAATCTGGTTGAGTCGCCGAAGTTCTCGCTTAGTCGTGGATTACCGTAGCTCATCATAGATAGTCTTGCTCTGTCATATTCGCTGGTCGCTCTTCGTGGGTACTCGACGGATGTATGTGTGATGTCTTCCTCATCGAAAGCTAACGACAGCCTAGGTGGCCGCATTTCTGGACTTCCTTCATCGACCTCCTCCACCTCCTCCAGGGGTAGAGAAAGCCTCGGCCGTTCCAATTCCGGTTCATTGTCGAGTTCCTCGATCTCGTCTCTCTCCTTTTCTGGTTCTGGTGTCGGCTCCAGTTTCTCCTGCGGTGATGAGCGTATGGGCTGCGAAGTAGGGGCAAGAGCTGGTTGAAAGTCAGCCAGGAGCCTGTAAATTTATGTAATATTTCAATCGTAATTATGTGCGCGCGTACCCTTTCCAAGATTCCGTAGGATGTCAAATGTTGTCTCTCTCTGGATCCGCCCGCTCTTTCTGCGATCGCGTCCAGGTGTATTGGCCGCGCGCCGCTGCATCGCGCGAAGTCCATAGGGCGTCGATGGGGCATTCGTAAGTCTTCTTCCAGGTGTCCATCGAGAGACCGACGGATTGGCAGACGGGGTGGTCGACCCTGCTAGGCGGCTCGGAGTGAGGGGATACCTCGTGTGAATTGGGAGTCGTTGAAGCTATCCATCAATTCGTTAGACCATACCGTCAAGTATCCTGAGGTTTAACTATACGCCGATGATTGACTAACCCTAGTGGCTGTTGTGTCTCCCGCCGGAGTATTCATATTTGAATCTGAAGCTGCCGCATCGCGCGACGGGCGGCGGCCGTGCGGTCTGGGAGTCGTTGACATCTACAGCTGTCAGAGAACAAGAGATTTAATCGACAGATCATCCACAATTAGAGGTGTCGCACAAGATTAATTCCAATCACTGGAAAGTTGAGAATGATCCGAAGTGTATGAAGCAATCGATATCATGTACACGATAGACGAGGGGTTTCATATGATGATCGGGCGGAGCGCGTCTCGGATCATCCACGACAGGACTCTCGGCCCGTTTCTGGTTGGCTTAAGCTTATCGATAAGAACCGCTGACTCAGCATAAAAAAGTTGTGACCAGCAAGCAGCACCTGTATGCGACAAGGAAGTGTCCAGGACAATCGCTCAATCTTGCCATTTAAAATCTTTCGAGAGTTGCAAATATACGAGATTATTCTTTGCCTTGCAATGTCCGACGTTCCACCGAACCCGTCCGGCCTCTCGGCCAAGGTGAACAAGAAGCGCAAGAGACAGGCGGAGGAAGCTCCCAAGGAAGATAAAGCTGCACCGGCCAAATCTGCCAATAATGATAACTCGGAGGCAGCTGAGGGCCCTCAAAAGAAGAAGAAGAAGAATTCCAAAAACAAGCAGAAGCAACAAAAGAAGAAAGAGCAGGATGATGATCCCAAGCAGCAGGAGCGCAAAGGCGGCATCGACGAGTCTATCGGCAAGATGGACGGCCGCTTGCTGGCTGATCACTTTGTCCAGAAGGCGAAGAGACATAACAAGGAGCTGACTGCGGTTGAATTGAGTGATCTGAGCGTTCCAGGTATGCTTATATCCGTATTGCTCGGTCTCGAGTGCAGTCAGACTAATGCGACGGTTTAGACTCGGCATTCCTCGACACATCCTCTTTCGAATCACCCAGATCGCTAGACCAGCTTCCTGCGTTTCTCAAAGCTTTCAGCCCCAACAAGGGATCTGAGCTCTCAAAGGCATCGGAGCAAAAGGGCACGCCGCATACGCTAGTGGTATGCCCCGCTGCGCTTAGAGCAGCTGATGTCGTGAGGTGGGTAGACCAGACGTATATCGCTGTGCTGGGATGGGACTGATTAGATGCTCTAGGGCTCTGCGTACGTTCCAGAGCAAGGATTCGACAGTCGGCAAATTGTTCGCAAAGCACATCAAGCTCGAGGAAGCAAAGCAGTTCTTGCAACGTGCACGGTATGCTCAGTACGATTTTGTCCTTTATTGACTGTTTGTCTCACAATTATATAGAACAGGCCTTGGAGTCGGAACGCCCGCCCGAATTTCAGACTTGATCGACGCTGGTACGTCTCGTCACTCCCTGGACTGCCATCTGTATGTCATGTTCGAACCAATACTAATGGAAACAGGGAGCCTCAAATTGGACGAACTAGAGCGCATCGTGATTGACGGATCCTACATTGACCAAAAACAGCGTGGCATCTTTGACATGAAGGAAACGCATCTCCCACTCCTCCAATTGCTCACTCGCTCCGAGTTCCGTGAACGATATGGAGCGAAACAGAAGCCGATTCAGATTTTGGTCTTTTAATTGAAGTATTTACTGTCTGTGGCATTGGCGTTGCTTGCTGGGGCATCTGTATATTTCAAAGGTACACATACGTATATATTTTCGTGCCAGAAGTTTTATTCACATGTGTAAACTGTACTACAAATGGACACACTGCAGAGTATACATACTTGGAACAAGTGATTGCCTGAAATTCAAGGCATGAACTCCTGTGGAGCCACGGCTCTCACCGCCATAAACAACCGCCCGGCAAAAAAGTAAATTTCCCTTTTCCGCTAAGCTTCTGGAGGCATTAATTTTCCAGACTCAAATTTCCACTTTTGTTTCGGGCGTCAAGCTGTGTTCTGGTTCTGATTCTCGGTTCAGAATATCTTCTGCTTTATTGATCACTTTTATAATCACTTCTTACAAAGAAAAGCCCTTTTCGCAGCTACTMCGAGCGTATCACACCAAAAATGGGCGACAAGAAACGCAAGCTCGCCGAGGAAGCCATTGCGCCTGAGGGCAAGAAGCTGAAGCAGGAAAAGGCCAAGGGAGAGCGGAAGGAAAAGAAGGAGAAAAAGAGCAAGGCGAAGGATGTTGTTGAGGACGTAACAACCGAAGACGTCGCAGCGCCTGCCGACAGCAAGCCGGAGAAGAAGGACAAGAAGGAAAAGAAGGATAAGAAAGATAAGAAGGAAAAGAAAGAGAAGAAGGAGAAGAAGGAGAAAAAAAACAAAGATGAAGAAGAGGAGAAGCCAAGTCCCCAGACCGCAGGGGCTGATTCAATGGACGTCGATGGCGATGTAAAACCTACCGAGAAGCAAGAGGCTGAGGGCGACGAGCTCGACAAGAAGGAGGAAAAGAAGGACAAGAAGAGCAAGAAAGATAAGAAATCCAAGAAGGAGAAAAAGGAGAAAGAGTCCGCAGACGAGACGCAAGAGCAGCCAGAACAATCTGCAGAGACAGCGCCTGACGAAGATCACTCACAACACCACCAGAAAAACGCACGTTTCATCTGCTTCGTTGGTAAGTGAAACTTTGTTATCAAGGGCGTATGGCACAGCCGCAGCATTGCTAACTCGTTCGCACTTCTCTCCTCGCAGGAAATCTCCCTTACTCCGCAACTGCCGACTCCCTCAGAAAGCACTTTGAGAAGAACCCTCCGTCCTCAGTGCGCGTAGCTACTGAGAAAGACAAACCGACCAAATGTCGCGGATTCGGTTTTATCGAATTTGACAACTATGACCGCATGAAGACCTGCCTGAAACTTTACCATCACTCCATGTTCGATGATGGAAAATATCCCCCTCGGAGAATCAATGTCGAATTGACGTGAGTGAGCCAGATCCGCGCGCGCAAGCAGGCAGGCTTGCAGCACATGACCGGACGCATTGGGAGAATCTCGAAACTAACAATATCGCAGGGCTGGCGGCGGCGGCGGTAAATCTGAGCATCGTAAAGCCAAAATCGAAGCCAAGAACAAGAAGCTCAACGAGGAGAGACAACGTCAAGCCAACGATATCCAAAAGGAGAAGACGAAGACGAGAAAGACTCATCCTAAAGAGAACGAGGATCAGGGCGCCGATCAGTGGGCTGGTATTCACCCCAGCCGAAGAGCCCGTATGGCGTAAAGCCCTCGACTCGGACGGAGTTTCAGTAACGGTGCTGCTCGACGACAAAAAGCCTTTTTCCAGATTCCATTTCGCATTCCGTTGATATGTTCCATCAGAGATATCCTTCTTGTCCTCGTTATATGAGTGTGAATATTGGATGGATTGAGTTGGGTGGAAGTATATAGAATCTTCAATAACTGCACAATCCCTAAGGGAAATCTTGATAGGCTGCATACAGCTGTTTTCCAACACGCGCCATATCTATGTAGCAGTTAGGACCATGGAGGTTAAAATCGATTAAGCGACAACTTCCTGTTATGGCGTAGCATGTTACAAGTTTATGCTGCATGTGCACGAAAAGACAACAAGATGAGGAACGGGGTGTCCTGACCCAGAAAGAAGCTCATCAGGATCATGACATGTGACAGAAAAAGCGAGAAAAGAAATATGAACACATTTGGAACAATCATCAAGGGGATCATTGCAAAACCTTCAACTATCCCAGACGCCGAATTAGTTGTTTATGATTAAATGATGAAAAGCTGTAAAATAAGGGTCTACAGAATGGTGCATTTCTTGCTCTTCGGTTTTGCGGCAGGTCGAGGGTTGAGGACAGCACTAGCGATGTGATTAGAGTGGGAACAACGTCACGACCCCGGGGCCAATGCCAAACATACCGAATAGCTTCATCGAAGACGCTTTTGAGGTTGCGTTGCGTGAGGGCAGAACATTCGAGATACTTGTGCGCTCGGATCTCCTTGGCGACGGCCAGGGCTTGCTCGTACGAGACAGGCTCCATCTTTCTCTGCCGGAGGGATTCTGCCGTCGCGGGATCGTCTCTCAGATCGAGCTTGGTACCAACAAGAATGATGGGAACATTGGGAGCATGGTGCTCGATCTCCGGGTACCACTACTTGAACGGTTAGTCGAAGCGATTGCTAAGCTGCGGGCGCACAGCAGCTGACAGGGGGAGTTAAGCACCTTTGCCTTGACGTTGTCAAACGAGGGAGGGCTGACAATGGAGAAGCAGATGAGGAAGACGTCGGTTTGAGGGTAGGACAACGGTCTCAGTCGGTCATAATCTTCTTGTCCAGCAGTATCCCACAGTCCCAAGCTGATGGGTCTGCCATCTACCATCACACTGGCCGTATAGTTGTCAAATCTGGAAGTCGGGTCAACAACAGGCTCCGAATCAGATCAGCGCAAGGGAGGAAGCCACGGACACGGTAGGGATGTATTCTCCGGGGAATGCATTGKTAGTGTACGAGATGAGGAGGCATGTCTATCATATTCTAGATTAGCTGCTGTCATTTATCAGGTAAAGCTAGCACCAGGCAATGTCTGATCTCCAGGGGAAAGGGAAAAGGAGAAAACACTTACTTTTCCAACTGCACCATCACCAGTCACCACACACTGTACAGGTTCACCTATTAGCCGCGGTCTGGTCAACCGACTAACAATCCATGGGATATCTCGCGAGTTCTAACCTTTAATGACTGGGTAGCGGGTCCAGACGCCATGGCTTTTGTTCTTAGAATTAAGGGTATATGCACAGAGAAGAAAATCACAGTGAGGATATGATGATGAATGGCTCGTAAAGATGAAGCCAAATGATAGCGATCAATTAGCGTCGCGAAGTGAATTATGGGGGTTTTAGCGTCAAGTGAAGGCCGATGGGGCGATAATAATCTCTAAGGGTATATCTGCAAAAGGAGAAGTCAAATGAGTCAGGACAATGCAATTGTATACGACAAAGAGCACATAAAAAGTTTTTAGAAGAGATGATAGACCAAACAAAGCTGAAGAGGGCAAAGGACAAAAAGAGGTCAAAAAAGGGTCATTGAGCAGCGAAACAGGACGAGATCGAGGGGCGGAGGTCTTTGTGGTTGGGGGGTAAGACAAGAGAGGGGGGACTAATTGGGACGAGCGAGGGTAGCTCG